TGGTCAACCTGCAGTACCCTAGATTGTTTTTTGGCCTTTTTCCAGTGGTCAGGGACCTGCTTCCATCTACATGACAATAAAGATAGGCACATCTAAAAGAAGGGAACAATTAGCAGTTGCCATTCCATGCTAATTAAACAGAAATTTCTCTTTCCAGTGATAATTTTCTTTGAAAAGCTGCTCTATGATAATTGAAGATTAAAATTTCTTGCAGGGTAGCTCTACTATTTGAGTTAGAACTGAAGTTAGACTTATTTGATGGTCATGAACTTTACTTCTGAACTTTACCTGAAGTCTTCTGTGTTTGAAATCTCTGCACAAGCACATGGACATCATGGCTTTGAGAAGCAAGATAATTACTTCCTTTAACCGAAGTATCACAAGAACAACCTTGTAAATAAGGACATACTGCCACAGAGTTTCCTTGGCGCTTTGCCCAAGTAGGAGGTGTTAACAGTGCATAGCATGGACAGTGGTAAACGACACAACCATGTTCTATCCATGTGCAAAAACCTACTCTGGATACTTCTGCATATGGTTTATGCCTCTTTACTGTTGAAGAGAGGACAGAGTACATTCTCTGTAGGCTCTGAGAAGACAATAGATGTGAGTGACAAGCCTGTATAAGATGGCCGTCAGATTTTGGACCACCTTCCTTTGTCTTCACAGATCTGAGAACAGGAAGAGAAATCTTTCTAATGCCTTTTCCCAGCAGAGAATGGAGTGTAGACATCCTGCCCCTCTGTACTGGTGTATCATACTGGCAGTTGAGGGATAAGAACATTATCAAAATTCCCATTTTGCTCTGGAATAAAACTGATATTACAACATATTGATAAATAGACCGGGAATATCCTTTGCAGTCATAACAAATAAGACATTCCAGTGGATGTCTTTCTGTGCCATCTTTATAGGTATGCAAAGACCAGGAATCCAGATCAAGGAAAACGTGCTACTAAAAATGCTCTAAAACACTACTCCCCTTTCAAATCCAACCGGAAGAAATAAACTTGCCCTATTCTTTTAACTGTGAGGAACTAAAATCCTTAAGAAAGGTATTCACTGACTGCTAGATATATGTGAACTCTTTGCAACATTTCTAAAGATTAAAACTTTTAAAAAGTAGAGGCTAAATTCTTGTGTAGGCACATCAGAGGCATAGCAAATCACACCGGTCTCAGCTTCAAATGACTAAATCCTTAAGAGAAATGGAGGAACTAAGTAACACATGACTTTGTATCAATGACAGTCTATGATTCACCACCTCAGCATAATTTTTAATTCATTAAGAAGGAAAAAGGTTTCTTCTTTATTTCAAAAGATAAAAGACACTGATTCTATCAGATACAGAACAGAAATTCTATGAAAAAAATCAGCAGCAACTAAAGTCAAAAACTGTGCATGAATTTTATTAGAATTCTTTGTTTCCTGAGCAAGATTTACAACACAACATGCAGATGCATTTAATAATTTACCTCACTATACATTCTGCACTTGTGACAGTTGTGCAACAAAAGTAGCAACTAAAAAAGTTTCCAGCTTTTAGTAATTTCAAAAAGTGACAGCATCTTCAATAAACAGAGCTTTACTGTTACTAGTGTCAATGTTAAATTTCCAATGCCTATCAAGCTGAAGTGATTAATTTCAGCAGCACATTTAAAGCTCTTTAGACTTCAACACAACTTCTACATTACAAGTTTCAGCAGCGTTCATTACATTTTTTTCACAATCTTACACATGAGAATAAAAACTTAGCACAATCAGGCTCTTTTCTTGTGGATCAACTGATTAAAACCACAAACGGAAATAATAATGGTAGGAAGAAAAACAGAACCTGAGCACAAGTAACTTTCGTCAGCATTCTGACAAGTTCTTTTGATGAAGCACTGAGCTCATTGCAAGAGTCCTACATGCACGTACAGCAAAAAAAACGGCTCCACAAAATGCAATTACTTATTCAACCAGGTAACGCTGATGATGTTCATTCGCAAAAATGGTGTACAGCTGGGGCTCAATTCCGTGTCTTTCAGAAGCTCTAAATATTTAATTGGAAATATTTGTTTTTCAGGAAATGTAAGGGAATTCTGGACATTCCTTTTAAAATCTGAGTATTGGACATTTCAGGAAAAATTGTGAATCTAGCTTTTGTTAACTTTCACGCCTCAACTGCACAGAAGAGACACTAAAAAGCTATCTTGAAAACAGAAGCCTGTTCACCAAGGAGTGTTATAAACAATTTAATCAATAAAGCAACAGTGGCTCTCCAATCACAAATGCAGCTCTTTCACAATGAAAACTGAGATAAGAGGTTACGCTAAAACATGACGCAAACATATTCCTATGTTTGCCCAAAAAGAGAAGAAACACAACAACATGCAGCACAGAGGTACCACTGATTTCAAGATAAAACACACCGATCATGTGCCAAAACTCAAAAATACGGGTCTGGATTAACCTGACACCACACTGCTCTATCTGCTACTGAGAAAGAAGGTTGAGACATACAAACAGAATATGTGATTTCATTCTCAAGCAAAGCAAAGCTGGCAATGTGCCAAGATGAACTTAGAACATTGGTAAGATTATTGATTAGAATTCACTTAGTAAAATGCTAATCACACTAGTTCATAGCTGTAGTCATCTCTGAATTAAGGATTACTAAATATACTAATGGCAATGTAAAAAAAAAGTGCTCTTTTTAGTTTAGTTATCAAGTTAGCAAGAAGGGCCAGAAGGAGAATCCGGGGAACTGCAGGCCCGTCAGTCTGACCTTGGTGCATGGGGTAGCTTATGGAGCAGATCATCTTGAGTGCCATCACACAGCACGTACAGAACAACCAGGTGATCAGGCCCAGTCAGCATGGGTTTGTGAAAGACAAGTCCTGCTTAACTAACCTGATCTACCCCTATGACAAGACGACTTGCTTAGTGGATAAGGGAAAGGCTGTGGATGTTGTCTACCTAGACTTTAGTAAAGCCTTTGACACCATTTACCACAGCATTCTCCTGGAGAAATTGGTTCCTTATGGCTTGGATGGGTGTATGCTACACTGAGGGAAAAACTGACTGGATGGTCAGGCCCAAAGAGTTATGGTGAATGGAGTTAAATCCAGTCGGTGCCAGTCACAAGTGGTGTTCCTCAGTGCTCAGTATTGGGGCCAGTTCTGTTTAATATCTTCATCAACGATCTGGATGAGGGGATCGAGTGCAGCCTCAGCAAGTTTGGAGATGACACCAAGTTGGGTGGGAGTGTTGATCTGCTTGAGGGTAGGAAGGCTCTGCAGAAGATCTAGACAGGCTGGATCGATGGGCTGAGGCCAATTGTATGAGGTTCAACAAGGCCAAGTGATGGGTCCTGCACTTGGGTCACCACAGCCCCATGCAACGCTACAGGCTTGGGAAAGATTGGCTGGAAAGCTGCCCAGCAGAAAAAAGGGATCTAGGGGTGCTGGTCAAAAGCTGGATGAGTATGATCCAGTGGTGTGCTCAGGTGGCCAAAAAGGCCAACAGCATCCTGGCTTGTATTAGAAATAGTGTGGCCAGGAGGATAGGGAAGGGACTATCTCCCTGTACTCAGTACTGGTGAGACCATCCCTTGAATGCTGTGTTCAGTTTTGGGCCTCTCACTACAACAGAGACATTGATGTGCTGGAGCGTGTCCAAAGAAGGGCTACCAAGCTGGTGAAAGGTCTGGAGAACAAGCGTTATGAGGAGCGGCTGAGTGATCTGGGGTTGTTTAGCCTAGAGAAAAGGAGGCTGAGGGGAGACCTGATTGCTCTCCACAACTACCTGAAAAGAAGTTGTAGCGAGGTGGAGGTTGGTCTCTTCTCCCAAGTAACAAATGATAGAACAAAAGGAAATGGCCTCAAGTTGTGCCAGGGAAGTTCAGATTGGCTATCAGAAAAAATTTTTTCACAGAAAGGGTTGTCAAGCATTGGATCAAGCTGCCTAGGGCAGTGATTGAGTCACCATCCTTCCAAGTATTTAACAGGTGTGTAGATGTGGTGCTTAGAGATGTAGTTTAGTGGTGGACTTGGCAGTGCTCGTTAACAGTTGGACTTTTTGATTGTAAAGGTCTTTTCCAACTTATGATTCTATGACCTTGGTGTTCTTTGGGAAGTTTTAATACTTTAATCTGAACTTTATTCTAACTAACAATGGAAAAAACATCAGCAGTTTACAGGCGCAAGTTTTCTGTTTTGTGTTTTTCATTGAAAGAGCCCAATTATGCTGGATCACTGAACACTTCATCGCAGGATGGCCCAGCGATCTGTGACAGGGTAACCTGGTTGGCAATTACAGTCACAAAGCTGCTTAAATAATGACCCAGTTTCCACGTGCAGAGTGCTGCTATTTAAGCTGCTAATAGTCGACAATTTGCACAAAAGAATAGCACTTTGTAGTATATTAAACATCTCATACACCTTTAAATGTTCTAAATGAAAGAGCCAGCAATATTAAAACGGAAGATGAGGGAAGGTGTATTTCAGATTTACACCACATACATAAGAACAAACTCTTTTAAAAACTCTTTGAAACTCTTTGAAGGCCCCTATTCTGCAACCTTCATGATTAGAGAGGACGTGTATTGTCTTCTGTGGAAACACTAAAAATACTCACACAGCAGAACAGGGAAAAACTGACACCTGAAGGAAGTTTCTGGGGAAAGAAAATTAAATACTTCCCTTTATCATACACCAAAACACGTTAAAATTTATCTACTAAGCCCGTATAGCAAAGGAACCTCTGGTAACATTTACTTTTACTGTTAAAAAAATGCACATAGAAGAGATGGATTTGTTAAAATCATGCTCGTCTAGCTAAACTGATATTCCCTCTAACAAGTGCCCCTCCTGCTTTGGACAGACGGTAGTGTTACGGTGCTCCTAATGCTCCACCCTCAGTCAAGCCAACGATTGTCACAAGTGTGGCGGTCACACTGACAGACTTCTTTTCCTGCCATGCAAGGCTGCAATACTACACGTTAGCAGGGGAGAACTTTAAAACGTCATGAGCATATCCCGTTCTTGTACGCTAGTGTAGAACGGCCTCCCAAAGATGAAGGAATGTAGACCTGGTTTAATCTTCTCGGCCAAAGCCATTATTATGTTAAGATCGCCCTCTGCTGTTAAGTCAAGATCTATCTTTAAGCTACGAAGAGACTTAAAAGGTTTTTTTCCTTTTTGCCTGCAAGAAAATAAAACCAGGTGTTGTAAAAAAGAACAGAGGAAGTTTCTCAAAGCCTGCTTTCTGTTATTTGTTCACTTACGTGTCATCCTCTATGTATTTTATTAAAATTAAGGCTTTCCTGTGGAGGACTAGCAGAAATTGTGCAAGGAAAGTACTCCTTAGAGACAAGCCAGGCTTCAGATGAAAGATCTGTTAAAAATCACACCAGAAAATTAAGTAGACATGGAAATTCGAGAATCATTTTAAGAATATGGAGTGTAAAGAAACATTGCATAAACATGTAACATATCCTTAATTATAGCAAAACACACACATTAGCAGCAGCTTTGTAGATATACTCAACATTCTTTCTTAGCTTTCTAGCTGCTCAGATGCAATAAATTAATATGTTTTAAAATTCTGTTTGTATAAAGTATTATTTTCCATTTTAAAATGATCTGAAATCAAGGCCAGGCAGAAAATGTGCATTGCTTTTCATACAAAGGAGTTTCAGTGTTATACTAATACTGCAAATATCACAAGTATCTTTCTCTCTAGTTATGCAGAGAAGAATCATAGCACTAGCATGCAAAAGAGCTACCAAGCCAACAAATTATCTGTTCTTGTTAAATTATCTGTTACAAGGGCTCAAAGTACTCTTGGCTCTTGTTCTTTTGAAAAAGCTACAATTACCTGATCCAGGAAGGCTTTTACTAATGTATCTCGATGCAGGATATCTTGAAAGACATTTCTACAGAAAAGAAAGCAAACAAATGTGATGTAATGCCATGAAAGGACACTAACTGTCTAGCAGTTGTGCAAAGCAACAGCATTACTGTTTACAATCTGGAAGAAATTAAAAGTGAATTTTAGTGAATTATAATCGCGCTATTTTTAAAGCGAGGACAGAATTTTAAAGCAAAACTTTCAGATTAAATGAACCAAACCCAGGAGAGTGATTGGGCCCTACCAAATACAATTAGCTCTGTTATATCCCGAACTAAAACAGGCAACAAAATTAACATAACATCATCAGAAGTATCAATGAAAATGAACTTTAGTAACATTTAATGCAACAAAACTACTGACAGAACTGATGAATTCCTCCAAAACAAATGCAACTACCAGAACTGAAGGAGCTTCTTAGAAGAAAAAAAAAACCCTCATGTACTTTATTAGAAAGTACATTTCGTACTACTTTAATCTCTTGTCCCAAATCAAGCAACTTTGAGAGATGTGAGAGAGGAGTACATACAAATCAGGTGTGAAACTCTCATCTGTGTGGATAATATGATCTTGAGACATTTCTTCATCTGAATTAGCTCTCCAAAATGCTGTCAGCTCAGATCTCATGTATCGTCGTTGGTTATAGATGTGTTCATGACAAGGGGGCATCTGCTTCACTGTATTGACGTCTACATCTATATGTGTAGTCGGATATGGGGCATACATTACTTGACGGAAAGGCAACACAAAGCTTCCTGTTGCATCCTGTTTTAGTAAAAAAAAAATAAATTATTCTAGATACTTTTTTTAAAAAAAACAAAGCTATATTGGAATAAAACAATATTCAAAAAAAAAAATAAATTATTCTAGATACTTTTTTTTTAAAAAAACAAAGCTATATTGGAACAAAACAATATTCAAGCATCATGTCTAAATTTTAAATCCCAATTGTTTACATATGTTTTGTTTGAGAGAACTGGCGGTTGCAAAGCAGTAAAAAGTCCTTCATACTGGATGATTCCCTTAATATAACAGTGAAAATAAGTACTGAGGTAACCTATGTGTTACAGTATTGCATCATCTGGTTCATGAGCCCATTAACATTACAGTATTACATTTATCTGGTAAGTTTACACTGCTCACCACAGCCAAGAAGCATTATTTTTCTCTTCATCTTCACCCATTGCTACAGCTTTTTTAAAATACTTGGGAATTCTAAGACTGGTGGACTCCTATTTTTTGGTTTTGGTACAACACAAAAACTTAATGCCTTTTAGGATTCTAGCCCCAAGTAGGCAAAAGAGTATTATTACTGTACCTCAAAGTATAGGAACAATTCTGGACTACAATCAAGAAATTGATGTGTCAGAGAAAAGCCTGGCTTGGAATTTTAACATGCAAATAGTTACAAGGAAAACTATAGTTCCAGAGAAAGGAATCAAGGGAAGATGACATATTTCTTCGAACATTAATATGTGTATGTATGTGCATATAAGACGCGCACACATACACATACACAGAAGAATGTCCTTACACTACAGAAGAATAGAACTTTCCTAAGCATACTTACTTTGAGTAAGCCTTGAACAAAAAGTCCTGACTCATATTTGAAAGAAGACTCATTTCTACAGAGTCTGGAACACTTCCGCTCTGACGGTGTAAGAAACAGACACAATGTTCTCACAATCTGGATTAGAAAGAACAGTTTTGGAAAACATGGAAAATGTTAAAGAATGAATCGATTTTCAAATGTAATTTCTGACTAGAAGGCATTTCAAATGATAAACAAAAAAGTGCATCATGCTTATTAGAAAAGCCAGAACTTTACCAAGGTCATACAATAGTGACACGCTTAAATTATTAAGCTGTAAACCGTATTACTCCAACTTCTTGTCAAATGAAGAAAAAAATCCAACGCTTTTTGGTAAAGTTCATTTTTTAGCCAGCTATGTTGAACAAATCACTTTTGCCTTCTGCTACTTCTTCCTATTACATAAACATGAGTTACTGTGAATACTTTCCTAGCCTTTTAAGCCTCTATTTGAGTCCATATTGAAACAGCAGCTATTGTCTCCAATCAAGCACAGTCAATTTTCTAAATAAGTATCCATGCTTATTTCCCCAGCAATTTCCTCCAACTCTCCATTAGAAACAGCAAAGATACTTCATTATCCATTTTCAAACTCCTGTCCTGCAACAGCTACAAGCAGTCATCTCCAAACCCAGACACGTATTCCATTCTGCTAGTCTTTCGGTCTTAGCCTGTGGTGTCCTGCCTGTGCCTGCAAGGTGTTTGAGAAGGCTTCATATTTGTAACAATGTGTTGATGCAGCACCTACACAAAGACAACCCAGTTTCTGATTACGGCTTTTCGCCACTTCAGCAAGATGCGATAGGTGGGTTTTTTTACTTCAAGGAAAGCTAAAGTATGCCATAACAAAAGCAAATTACTTCAGAACAGTTGCACTGTGACACGTAGAGCACACTGCTGATAAGAACCTGTGTAGAATTTTTGAAATTTACCCTGGATGTATCTTGAGACTTACATTCTTCTAGACTGTTTTTCTCCCATGGTGCTGAGCTTAATAATACATTATTTTACACACTCATAAGCATTTAGACCTTAAAGACTTTTAATTAATTATTTTATGAATGATAAACTTTAAGCTTTTTATAATCACTTAAACCTTTAACATTTCCTCTATTATGCTGACTTAATCATGTGCAAATCTTACGTCCCTGAAACAATACTTATTAACTGTGGTTAGCTGACTTCAGCTAACAACTCAGAATTTTCTTTTCCCTGATTCCTCCGTTTTTAATTTGAGTATCAGCATTTACTGTTTATTTGATCAGAGGGGCGTTACCATCACTTCTAATCCACAGGGAACAAAGTTTTTCCCCCTTCCAGTTTTTATAAAGCATCACAAACTGCTTAGTTTAAAACGCAGGTTTGCCAAAGGTGCCTTGACTTTTTTAAAAAGAATAATATTATATTTCACTGCAGCAAGGAACCCTACGTACTATAAAATACACAATATATAATATACATAGTCTACAGTTAACATATAATCTATCCAGCAGGCCCACTGTTCTTATTATTTCACACTGAAGCAATACACACAGATACATACATGTATCAAAAAAGGCATAATCAACTTCGAGAATTACAATGAGTTTTTACTCAAAGGAAGGTTTCAGTCTTACCAAATAAACCATAGCTCAATAATTGGTACATCACAATTAAAAACATAATCAGACAGAAAAGCCCAATACACAAAAACATTCTCTCTCAGCAAATGAAGTTATCTGAATGTACTGCTTCTCCACACGTGCCACGGCAGGACCTTTGTCACGGTCTCGGGACATGGGACAATTGTTATTGCACGGCCCAGAAGCCCCAGTGTGAACTGAAAACTTGTAATTCTATGTAACTACAAAGAAACTTAAATTGAAAGAAGGCAGATTTAGATTGGATATAAGGAAGAAATTTTTCACTCAGAGGGTGGTGAGGCACTGGAACAGGTTGTCCAGAGAAGCTGTGGATGCCCCATCCCTGGAAGTGTTCAAGGCCAGGTTGGATGAGGCTTTGGGCAACCTGGTGTAGTGGAGGGTTTCCCTGCCCATGGCAGGGGGCTTGGAACTAGATGATCTTTGAGGTCCCTTCCAACCCGAACCATTCTATGATGCTATGAAACCTACCCTCCCAGCAGTATTGGTATACTCATTAAGCGCAGTGGTGCCTGATACCCGAAGGGTCCAGGATTGCACACTTCTTTTCATTTCCATTCATTACAGGGATATTCTGAATCAAAGCAGTTTATTAAAGGATTCGGCCGTGAATGTAGAGAGGCAACTGATTTAGTGAAATACATTTTCTCACAAAGAAAACAACATTTTCTTCATGATTTGTCTCTGAATATCCTACCTGAAAAATAACTTCGGTGTCTTTATTGGAAAGGATGGAATAACACTCTAATTAAAATGTAAGTCAAAGGGAAATATCTCTGAACAAAACACTGATACATGGCACTATGCTGAAAAGAAATACACTTTAAGAAATATTTCAATGGACAGTAAACACAAGTGAACCTCTTCCAGGAATTACTTTCAATTTATCTGAAACTAGCATTTTGGCATAATCAAAAAGGTGTATACAAAAAAAAAAGACTTGGAAATACTTCTGAATAAGGAAAACATCCCCATTTGAATTTTCTTTCACATACTGGGTAAGATTAAAATAAGCATCAAGAAACTCTCCATTTACACCAAAATATTAGAGGAAAAGCAGTGCAGGGGATGGCTTCATATTGGTTCAAATTAAATATTTCATAAAAAGCTTAGAACAGAGTTGAAAATAATAACAGCATGGGTAAAAAAAGTCTACCATAAAAATGTAATTATTGTCTTGTTTTGAAATGACAGCTTCCAAGACTGACCTTCTTTCCTCCCAAATGATGATGTATATACTCTTCCCCATTAAGAGGTACAGCTAATGCTGCTTACTGTTTCTAGACCTGGAAGCTTCTAAACATCATCCCTACCGATGTGCTCCAGCATATATGACCCACTGAGTGTTCTGTCACTACAGGACTCTATTTCAGGGGTTTATACCTGTACTTTGCCTCTTTGTGGTCCTTCTGGAAAGCTGAGTCACACCTAATGTAAGACCTAACTGTTACACTGTGTACTTATTTACCAATTCAGTTTTAAAAAGTCTGAAGATGAAGCCAACACAAACACAGCTACAAAGAAAAAAATGCTGGAATTGCTGGAGTGGTTTAAGGTCCTAGTAAGCTCGCCGGTTTCAACATGTGTGTGACACTACGGATTCAACAGCTTTCAGGTTCCATGAAACACAAGCAGTTTGTGACACAGAAGTGCATTTATTCCCCAGTGTAAGAAAAATTATGCAGATCCTAATTTCTTATGAGTACACAGGCAATACCTATTAACACAGCTGAACTCAGCAAGCCAGTTCAGGCCCCTTCAATTTGTACACTTTAGCTAATAAACCTAATTTTAAAAGCTCAGACTCATTTGGCACTCAAATTAAATACATTGGTTTTCTTATAGTTGCCAGAATACAACTGATAAGTCAATTTTCAGGCAGAATTATCAAATGTTAGACCTATCAGCTGAAGTAAGACAACCAGACAACAGCATTCCTTCCTTCTTCAACCTGAAGTACGTTTATAGATAAACTTTTTTTCCAAATAACACACTAACACTCCTAATAATCTACATTTAAGTTGTGTTTATTAGAAAGCACATTACCTTATTAACTTTTTCTGCGCTGCTTCCTACAACTACAGAACAACCACAGGTCTGCAGGTGTGAACTAATTGCACTGCAAACAAAACCAAACATCGGTTAATACATTTAATCAGACTTTTCAAGTGAAACAATTATCGTCTCCACAAGAAGAATGAAGTGCTTTTAAAATAAATACAGGCACATACCTACAGGACCTCACACAGCTGTGTAGGTTACTGCTGAAATCCAAAAGTTCAACAGTATTTACATTTTCATTTTGATGAATAAGACGACTGTCGCTCAGAATCTCCAAACACCAATTACAGAGTGAGCAAACAAACTGTCTCCTGCTACTACCTAACTGTATTATAGAATCTGTATAAAATAATTAATCTAAAGTAACAGAAGACATACTAATAATGAAGGACTTAAAAACATCTTGAAATAAGATCTGTTCCATAGTTGTCCTCATTTTCTGAAGCTGGATCAGAAGCCAGTTTTGGGAGACTTGGCGGGTAAACTGTTCTACTCTTCGTGACTACATGGGCAAGAACATGTCACAAGCTTGAGTCCCTCAGAATACGCACAGGTATGCTGGAAGTTGATGACTAATCTTGTGAACTGCCAGCAGCACAGATCTGATTTAATTTATCTTACGTTTGGAGGCTGCACTAAATATACAGGGACTAACTTGACAACTCTTGACTTGTTCTTAAGCAACTTCTGTTGAGGTTTCTTATCCTTACCCTCCCTTTCCCCCTGTACTTTCTCAAACCAGCACCTGGCCCGCAGCTTCAAAAAGCCTAGACACCCTAGAAAGTCTAGAAACTATTAAATAATCTTCTCCAATATCTGTGAAGTGTCCAAGGCCAGGTTGGAGGTGGCTTTGAGAAACTTGATCTAGTGGAAGGCGTCCCTGCCCATGGCAGGGGGTGGGTAATTGATGATCTTTAAGGTCCCTTCCAATCTAAACCATTCTATGATTCTATGCTATCTTACTGAAGGATGCATTCTAGGTGATTGATTGGTTCTAATAAACACTTCTAATTCATAAAGACTATACTAGCTGTATTCAAGACTCTGAAATTCCACACGGGAACTTACAGCGGACTTGTTAGTATTTATCTTATCAAGTATATCCTATGAGTTGAATTTAAGGCCATCTGATACTTAGGAATTCTTCCTTTGGGGCAGAAATAGATGGTCAGTTTCATTTAGAAGTTACTAAGAAAGCATCACAGCTTATTTTAGAGGTTGGCATTGTTGATAAGGCAGTTTGTTTAGTTTAATCCAAGTTTTATTCCATGACATGTATAAATCCACACAACACTATACTTAAGACTTGAAATCTGAACCTAAATGAGCTGATAAGCTTTGCAGATAAGCTAAAAAGCAGACATTTGGATCCTTCATGCGAACGGCCCAGTTATTCTTTTCTTTTCAGGACAAAACTTCCAGGGAGAGGAAGCAGCAAGAAGAGATAACTGACATCCTACAGTCTACTACCTGCCCAATATATCTCCGACTGGTATGAGAATAGTTCATCATTGTAGGATCAATGGCTCTAGTTGTTTACAAAAATCCATTCCAGGATATTCACTTCATTATTTCCCAAAATCTCTGTGGAACTAAATACTACATTATTGTGAAGAATTAGTTAATTTAACACATGAATTTATGTAGTACTGAAAGTATATACGACGCTGTATAAATAGATAGCACTAAGCACTACATAAATGAATGCAGTTTCACGGGATATGTTCTGAAAGGTAACAGAACATCAATTAAAATCTACAAAATACACTTTCCCACAGGACGAGATAAGTTGCTCTCAAATGCAACTACTTTCACTTATGCATCAAAAACAAGAGGAAAAAAAGGGAAATACACAATTTAATTATAAGCGTTCTATACGCCATACCATTAATGACTCTTATTCATAGTTTATGCAGTAAATGCAATCCAAGTTTTCAGTGTTTCATAAAAAATTATATTTGATAGGAATTATATTATCAATCAAATGACTCTGTGACAACACAGTCTATAGAGATGCAGCTACTAGCCCAGAGCCATTCTTCTAAAAAGACAGCAACTGCTACAGCATTTTATAGACAAAATCTCAAAAAGCCAAATAGATGTCATCTTCCCCCCCTCCTACAAAGAAAACTAATCTGTGTTCACATGCACATACAGATAGAGATATATATATGCATATAAAAGTTTAAACCATTTTAGTACAGCATAAATAAAAACTGAAATTCATACTTGAGAAGAAAGCCTTCATGGCAACTATCCCCAATGTCATCATCGTTTAGCACTGTGTCACTTATCTGAAATGCAAGTAAATATAAACAAAGTTTAGACAATGATCTGCAACACCTTCCGATTAATTGATCTTTATTTCTAATAACAGGTGGGAACTGTTTGGGAACGATTTAAGCTAAGTTGTAAGACTGCCCAAAAAAGCACAACCTTAAAAAGACCTTCTAACTTTAGCCAAAGCATTTTGAAAATGAGAAAGTTCCTCGATTATTAAATGTTCTTCACCAGTCACAAGTCATATTCCTCACAGTGATTTTTTTTCTATAACCTTGTCCAGAACACTTTAAATTAATGCATGTGAGATCACTTCTACTTCTTCCATGAGAAAACTAAATCACACTGAAACAGGTTTCAACAATAAAACCATTTACTTCCCCATTGATTTTGTTTTGCATCAAACAGCCTTTCTACTCCACTTTCAAAAACAGTACCATCCTACGCATTGAATTTTGCTAAGTGCTGACCATAAAAACCACTGGTAGTATTGTCATACTTACCAGGCTAAAACAGTTACGTTAAACCATTCCCTATACAACTTAGGAGAACTTGATGTGAAACAACTGGGGAAGTTATAACAACCGTGAGGTTTTGTCTGCCAAAGACAGTACCAAAATAGAGTGCCAAAGCCACTTTTTTTATTCAGAATGCAAAGAACACAAGGACTTACATCGATTTCTTCTGGAACGCTGTGTGATTTCATAGATGAAAGGAGCTCCATTACAGGAATGACTTCTCCTGTCAGCATTGGAATGATGCTCTGGCCCTGTGCAATAAATAAAACGCTTGAAGTAAAAGCACATTGTGCAGTATCAGAAGTTACCACTAACATGAACTTGCAATATTACATGCGTAACATCTTTAACTTCCTATTGTTTGGAAGTGTGGTATGAGTGGAAATCGATGCATAGAATTCTTGGGCTTTTCTCATCAATAATTATGAATTAGAAACATACATTTTGCTTCTCAAGATCATGTCTAAAATGTATTTCCAGGGTCCTACGCTAATTTTCACAATTAGTTTGATTTGCTTAGACAAGAAGTATTTGGAGTGAGGTAATTTAATCACACCATATTATGTGCAATTACTGTTAAGCATTTCAGATCCAAGTCTGATGTTTTAACAATGACAGGAAACCAAAACCAGGCATATTAATTATTGTCACACAAAATTACTTATCTGATTTATCTATCACAAGAAACCGAAGCCACAATTTCATATTTACAGTTTCAGAAATCAAATTCTTTTCACAGAACCATTAGGTCTCCAACCACGTTCCCACATGACATAGTCCATAAGTCTTTGTAACTTGAAAAGGTAAGGATCTAGTGAAAAATAATCCTTGATCAGAGGTGAGCATGAATCTATGGAAGCTACTACCTTTACAGAGCTGCAAGTTCAAGTAAATGACTTTCCTTTTCTGAAAGGTAATATTCTTCATAGATTTCCACTTTACCCATAAAGCGATGAAATACATTTTCCTTCAACTTGTTCACAGCTTCCATCATTCTATCTTCAGAAACTTTTCCTCCTCTGCATGGCAGGCGATCAGCCAGTCCAAAGTATCTTCCTGGATGCCAAAACTAAGAAGCAGCACCAACTTCTAGTCACCAGATGCAGTCAAATAGTTTTGTGATGGTGTGCCATACACATCAACCAGACGGCCCTTACCTGATCCTCCATTCTCTCTGTGCCTTCCAATACAATCTTCTGGAAATGTTCTTGCCTCTCCTGAGCAAGAGAAGCAGTTAAATATGAACGTTCTGGTATTTGTTTATATATTTACGCACACAACAGTCAAATGGTACAGTTTCTTCCCTGTGGAGTCACGCTTCTTAGATTCAAATTTTGATGTTCAAGTCTTTTTTTGTTTACAGAGTTGACATTTGCGGGAAATTATGTCATTTTAAACAGATCAATGCTCCCTGCTCTGCCCCCCACCAAACCTTCCACATGCTTGAGCAGGAGTAGCAGGAAAGGGAGGGTGTGATGACAATGACAAAACATTAAGTTTCTTCATTACAGATCAAGAAAATGCCAAATGATCAGATTATGGTGCAGAATTCCGCTTAATGTATGGATTTTTACTTTCAAATGGATAAGGTACAGACTGATGGTTCCTGATGCAGCAAGAGAAAAATGAGATCTCCAAAATTACAAAAATTATGTGTTTAGAGACGTTAGGAAAAACAGGACTTCTTTTTCCACATCTTGAGACACTGACTAGTCTTCAAAACATTGTTTTATAAACAAGTACAGGAGACATGAAACCTCAAAATACACAAAACACAATGTACAAGAGACTGGACAAAGTTCTCCAAACTGACTCATCAGCAGATGAGTAGCAAACTGCATTCAAAATGCAACTTACAATGGAATCGAGATATTATTCACAAAGAGAATTCAGCATTAATCACTGGAACAGTCAATACAATATGCAAAAAATGGAAGATGCTGCGAGAACTAATGATATCTTTTGCTAGATGCTGACAGGTTATTGCATTTTTATTGGTTACTCATTAGTTTCCTGTGACTGAACTACTTAAGGTTGACCAACTTCAAGTGGAAAAGAATTTACGTAACTTTATTTGAGTAGATGAATAGGCAATAAGCTACAGTAACTTGCCCTAAAACAGTAATAAAACTTGTCTAAGCATCTAAAAGAACCATCCACGAAAAACAATACTGAAATGAGGCAGATTCCTTTGGGGCACCTCCACGCTTGAGTTCAGTGTCAGTGAAGTAAAACATCCTTGACAATGAAGATCCTTTGCTTTAAAAGAAGTCAGTCTTCATGATGATAAAGCTGAACGAGTGGTGTAAGCCACTTCTTTACAGAAATGTAACTTCTCAAAATTATTAGACAAACACCTGGAAGATAAGATTGAAGCAGATAAAGGGGTTTCTAATCCCATACAGACGACTTGCTTGGAGTTGCTTGTCTGTCTTTGCCAGTCTAAGCGTTGCTCCATGTTTTTCATAGTCCTCAAGTTCAGAAGGTTTCTTCTCTTCTAAAGTCCAGCTGGAACTGTTGTTTGGCCTACACAGAACTCATGAGAACTGATAACCACAACCATTAGAAATTCCAGAGCAGATACACAGCTCCTTTCAGATACGACTTTGACATTTTTTGTTCTATTGAAGCCATAGTTGCTGAACTGCCTCAACACGTAAACTACAAAATAAACCTGTTTTATTTCAATATTATCATTCTACAACTCATGCCTGAATTTTAATCTACATTTTCAAAGCAGTTTTCTCTCTTCTAGGTAAGGATGCAGAACTGCAGGTACATGCAAGGATCTTTGCACTTCCTCAAAAAAAAAAAAAAAAAAGAAAAGAAAGACAATAAATGTCTAATGTATCACTATCTCAGCTAACCCAGTTGACCTATATGCTTCAAAAACATCTGAAAAATAATAAAGTACTTAATGATTAATTTCTGAGGAAACTAGTAGAAAACATTTTTTTGTCATTCTCAATGCCACCCGAAGGCTATTTCTACTGTGGAAACATACTGATATGGATAAATGTTCAAAAAGAGAGAAGACATACTACAGTTAAGAATGATGGACAATTCTTATTTGACCACACACATTAAAAGTGAGTACAGAGGACACCAAATGAAGAAGAAGAAACATAATCAAGGACGTGAGACAGCATTCACTTCTGTCAAAAGCACTAACATTCAACAGGCTTTCAGAAGACTAGATAAGGAATGAAATATTTGTGTTTCTACTATTTTGAAAAGGAACTTTACGTTCTATCCTTCCTCTGGAAAAAAAGAAACAAACACAAGTATCAAGAGCCAATATGATGGAAAACACTGCCAACCATCATCAGGCAATATAGCAAAAATAAATGGAGTTTGTTTGTGTAGCAAAAAGGAAACACCATCACAAAAATTAACATTAGCTTATTATTTCTGGAATCTTAATTACTTTAGATAAAAGCACTCCAAAAGGAAGTTTAAAGTATGTTGACTAGAGGTCTCAGAAGGGGAACAAAAACTTTATCAAACTTGCATCACCATACACATTACAGCTGACATGCAATCTACTGCTCTAAGACAACTTGTACTTCATGAAGATGACAGAGATTTTAATTTTCGTTATCAGAACGTTATTTGTTTTTACCAAAAATACATTAAAATTTTCACTTAATAAGTAAATATCCATAATGTACCCAAAAGTAAGAGTTGCAATTCTTCAGAAAAATGTAGCATGTTTTCCTTTCAGAATTCTAGAAGTAGAAATACTTGGACTAAAGTAGATGTATTTTTGTGGTTCTCCCGTTAGTTCTACACAATTTAACACCTGCCAAACCATTCACTGATACCCTTTTTTAGAAAAAGGAAACTGTAGCAACAATGACAACATTAATTGCATTGGTTCCCTTTTCTGGGCCTAAACAGTGAAAACAATAATTTGAAACACTTTAAGTTTACAATTCTACCTTTTTTAAATACTAATTAAGACAGCTAAAAGCAACAATTTATATAAAATCAGCGAGATTAAAAACTGTCCAGCATACTTATTTCACCTAGATGTCCTCATACAAGTTATATACTACCAGGCTAAATCCTGTGGCTAAAAACTCCAGCCTTGAACTTGCTGACATTGATAACTTCTAACCTTCAAAACCGTATACTTGTAGAGAGGTCAGGCTCCTCTCAGTTTTTGTGTCTGAACTTCTACGTAACAGGTGTCACAGAATCTTAATTCTTGCTTTTGCTCAAGACGACTTGGCCAACTGTTTTTAGTAAAGAACAATAAACCTACCTTATGCATCCATATTCTTCCTTTCCTTATAATATGTGTTAACCTATCCACGCACACCCTGTGAAGTGGCAGGTAGAAGCCAAGTTCACTTTGTGGAAGTATAATTGATAGTCCATATGTGCTTCGGTCTCCGTTCCAGTTTCCATCAAAAATTAATGACACAATGATTACCCTTTTTTCTGCCAAGACAAAGAACTTCACATCTATTGCACCGCTTTCTGCATTCCGAAGTATTTCTCCATTCAGGGTGTGGTTAGCAAGAAAAGTTATTTCACCATCACTGAGAAGTACCTGTTCTGTCTTTGGGGCCCAGATATGCCGCACTCGGGGGCCAAGAATATTGTCCCAGTAAGCGAAAGTGGCAGCTAATAAAGGTGACTCGCCATTCAAAGAGATCTCCGTTTTAGCAACTGCAGGAGATGGTGGTGGACAAAGAGCTGACATGCCGTCTTCCTCTCTTGTGTATACCTGAAATGCTTACATTACCTGAAAAAAAGTTTTCATAGAAAAAAACAAAATTAGAGCAGCACTCATTATCTCATCTTCTTTTGCTTCCAAATAAGACTTCAAGAGACAACCTGACTTCTACACCTGAGATTTCATTGTAGACTTCATTCAGGAAGGAAGTGTATAGGAATATCTTTCACATACGTTTACAAACGTCAGCCAGTCAGACCTCAAATACGCTTTACTCACTATACAAGTATGATGAGTCTGCACAACATACAACTTGTCTAAGAAAACTGACATCTGACAGTAAGATGACATGCAGGGTGTTGCAATACAAGACAAATCCTCAGCACTTCTTAGAACGCATTGATGGAAAATTCTTCATATCGTGTAGACACAGATCCTGAAAACATTTTCCCTAACAGTTTCCAATAACTCTACAGCTTCTCCATTTTGGTGAGGCTGTAGAAGATAACAGGAAGTTTCACATTCCCTGAAAGTTATGCTAGAGCCATGGGAACACATTAAATAAAAAAGTTTTACAAACAAAAACTATAAAAGTTCAAATGCATTATCCTGACAAAATCTCACAGGACCAGAACTCAGCTTGCCTTTACAGCAGAAGGGAACCCCCCCAGTATCCGAAGGAACAGAGATACCCATCTCACTGACACGGCTGTAACTCGCCAGACCTCTGGCACCGCTTCGTTTCATGTATCTTAACTTTTTTTTCCTTACGAGTGTCCCTCATAAATAAGACCGTCCAGGTGCACTTCCTCGCAGCAGGAGGGTAAAGCACCTTTTTCTTTGGCTCTTTCTCAGGCCCGACTGAACACCACTAGGTTGTCCCTCACCAGCTGGTGATCATTCTGGATGGCAGCGGGGAAGCTGGGGCCTTTTGAGACTCTAAATGTGACTCCAAGGTTTTCAGGGAAGATAAAAGACAGCGTCAGTCACCGTGCCTCCTTACGCTTATGGGCTGACGAAAGACTTCCTCTCACCACAGCCTTTCCAGAAAAGCCAGCCGCCGCCAACCAAGGCAGCTGAGGGACACGACGACCGCCTGGAGGCTGAACCACCGCGCTCCCAGTCTGGATCAGGCCCGTTTCGTGCCCTCCAGGTCCGATCTGAACTTCGGAAAGGACCCACCCCCGCGGGAAAGTGGTTGGGAGGTGCGGTGCGAGGAAGCCCAGCTCCTTACCGCA